CTTTTAGTCAGGTTGTCAAGGATATGAAATTACTATTTTTACCTTAATTAAACAGGTCAGGTGAGTTACAGGAGTCAATCTCATGATACAATACGTTAGGCATGGCCACCGGTTCAATTCTAATCGGAATCGAATCAAAATCGAACTGTACTGTAGATGAATCGAAACCGGACCGAAACCGGCAATTCATAATTTTGAACCGGAACCGACGGTTTAAGGGCCGGTTAAGATTCATGTGAATGTTAAAATATGAACCGAAACCGGCAGTTCTGGTCCGGTTCGAACCGGATGCACAAAAAATTGTAGCTTAAAATTTTTATAAAAAAATTTATATCACTTGATTTGATTGTAGTTAAAATTTATATCACTTGATTTCAAAAATTTCGAAAATAAAAATTCGGGGTATTACAGGTACATAATTATAAAAAGTTGTGAAAAAAATACACATTTTTTGACTTAATTTATATAAAAAACGGTACATGAATAGTTGATTTATATAAAAAAAATACTTTCAAATGTACAAAAAAAAACGGAAGTTTTTGATTATGATAGGTGTTTTTTTATTTATTTTTTGGTTAAATAAATTTTATTCATTTTTAATCATTTATTTATTTATTTACTGTAATTTTACTAAATTTATCAAAAATATAGTTAGTTACTTTTTTTGTTATAAGCGGAACAATTTGGAAAAACTAATAAATGAGAAATATGTATTAAATATGATTGAGTTGATGCAATTTTTTATTTCACAATCAATTATATCCTAACTCTTTCTCTATCTACAATTCCAAAATTCTCTCAAATTTCCATAGTTTTCATATTTTTTCTATTGCTTTATTTTCCGTTAATATTGGCAAATTATCTATTGCTTTATTTTTATTTTCTTTTTTATTTTCTTACATCCAATTCCAAATTCTTTCTCTGATCTCAAATTTTTCCATTCATAAATTTACTTCATTTGATTTTTTAAATAATTTTCTTAGCATTTGAAAATAATAATTTCCAACTCCTTCCATTAATTTTATATTCCATTTATAGTTTTTTTATATTAATAAATTAGCAAAATTTGTAAATTTAATGTAATAATAGTTCTAAGTTAGTTAATAGAAGTTTTTTCTTTTAAAATTTATAATAATTCATCTAGTTAATAAAATTTAAACATTTTAAAATTATTATTTATTCATGAATTTGGAATCAAAATTTTATTATTTTATTATTTTTTTTAAAAAATTGCCGTAATACCGGAACCGAATCGAACCGGTAATTTGAACCGTCGGTTCGCCGGAACCGTGCTACCGTAACCGGAACCAGAAACCCGGAGGTTTCAAGGGTCGGTTCCGGCCGTAATTTGAACCGTCGGTTCGCCGGAACCGTGCTAAACCGTACCGGAACCAGAACCGGAGGTTCAAGGGTCGGTTCCGGTTCAAAATTTTAAAAATCTCGAACCGGCGGTTCACTGAACCGGCCATGCCTGCAATATGTTAAAACTCGTGTTACATTGGGATAATCTATTTATGACACGAACCCATTTAAATTCAGCCCTAATTCATTTAATTTCCATATTAGGCGAATCATGTTCTTATGTCATGATTTATTTTGAGACCATTAATACTCCATTCCTTCATCACATTGTTGACATGTATAATTGAGATTCAAATAATAGAGAGAAGGAATTTTTTCTTACTCCAATCTGTCTTCACATGGATTATTTTCAATGGAACAGTGATGGACATTAATTCATTTTCACATCAATAGCAGCAATAATGAATATGGTCCTTCTCTATTTTATTTTATTTTTTACCTATTTTGAGTAACAAATTAATAGCAAGAGTACATACGGTCCCAATTGCATAATAAGCAAACAAAGAACATTGTACATCTTTAGGATTGTTAGGCGTAGACATAATTGATGCAACTATTCAAAATTGTGTAGTTTGTTTCAATCATTGCTTCCTTTCACATGCCACCATCGCTTACTAAATAGATTTATTCAATGTGGCTATCCATTCATTTAAAAATTGAAATCAATCTGAGAGTTTTTGAATCGAATCAGTTGAAATTAATACTAACAGAATTTCAATTTCTATTTAAATGTGGAATTGGAGTATGAGAACCATTAATTTGAATCAGACAATTTGATCATTTCGATTTTAAAAGAAACAAACGTAAAAATGAAGAAAGGTTTAGATTTGAGTTTTCATTTTAGAAAAAAAGTATTAAGAGGGAATGAGTCAATCCCTAAACCATAATAGTTTAAATCAAAAAGCAATTTAGGATATTTTTGTGTATCGAAAGAGAAAGTTTTTGTTAAACGACACACACGTTTTCCATTTGTTTATTATTATTTAGGTATTGTGGTAGATATGGCATGGCAAGTCCAAATCGAAGTGATGAGTGCATTATCTATTTTCTAATTGTTTAAGAGATTTGCAATTCTAATCTCTGTCCTTTTCTTTTTAAAGATATCTAACCTTTTTTCTTCTGTTATGGGTCTTTGGGATAAGGAACTATATTGCATTCTATGACACATCTTTTTCTAAAAGTTAAAAAGACAAAGATACCCTTATATTTATTTTTATTTTATTATTTCAAGCAATATATATTATTATTTAGATAATATCAAATTGGTTTTTTCAGTGGAAATCCTGAATTCAATCTTGGTATAAAAAATTATTGAAAATTTTTACCAATTTTGTGAATATTATTTTAAAAAAATTACGTCTACTATATAGTTGGTAGTACCATTCTTATCCATTTTACTTCACCACACATACGCATTGAGCATGTTACTAGAAATTATTGTTGCAAGGCATTCCTTTAAGGCTAAAATATATCATGGAAGGTGAGAAATTGCATGGTTGGCCCCATTATCTACCATTCTTATAAGCAACTTCTTGTCAACTGTATTTCTAATTTTCTGTTCTTTGAAGTAGGTAGAAACTACCACTATAAAAAGTATAATTTAATTTAATTACAAAGATTAAGATTAAGATTAAGATTAATTAACAAACACGTCTGAAATATGTTTAATAAAATTAATTGTTTTGATAACTGTTAGTCTATTTAGTAGCTTTTCATGATTTAATACCATTTTATTTATTGAAATTGTAATTATTGTTGTGTATCTCCTTTTCGTCGAGTTACTTTTAATTAATATGATTTCATAACAGTCATTGAACATATCTTAGTGACAAATATCAATTAGTTAATAAAAAATATTTGTTCAAAGCCTTATTGATTGGAATTTTAATTTAAAATCTTCAATCATAAAAAATATTTATTTTGTCCTAGAACTCTTATCTCCAATGCCCTAGAACTCTTTTATATATATATATATATATTGTATTTATCATTATTGTGGTCGTCGACGCCGCTCGTAATTCTCGTTGTTGATTCACATAAATTGTACAGGGATTTATTTTTACAGATTTCGTGTTTCTTTGTGTTTTCTTTTTTTAGGGTGTCCTTTTTTTTTCAGCATTTCATTTTTTACTAAATCTGTTAGTTTAATGTTGTTTAAGGTTATTTTGGTATTTTTGTTTTATTTTTGACCAAATTTGTTAGTTTCTTAATATTTAATATTTTATGACATTTACTAAAAATTGAAACTTTGAACATGACATTTGCGTGTTGCCCCTATTTTATTTTCTGTCAAATGATAAAGAAAGTCAATTGCATGCATAACAGAAACAAATAGAAGTTCACTAGACAGGATAGACGGACTTCTCTCAGCTTGCAAAAACAAAGTCCATATCCAAATATATTAATAGTTAAAAATAATGCCAAAAAGGCCTAGCCCAAAATACCCACAACAGTTATTTAGGATTTTGGGCTTTTAGTAGTTTTGCTTCCTTCTTGGAAATTCTAGTCTACTTCTAAATGGGCCAAGTCCAATAAAGTTGAAATAATTAATATTTTTTTAAAAATAAGCTTATAACTTTTTTATCTTATTTTTTTATTTATTAAGAGACTCAACGATTCAAAATAACACAAATGACAATACAGTAGAGATAGTCCTTCCATTAACCCATTAAATTGATAAAAACCCTTGCAGTTGAGAGATCTCATCATTCATCATATAAGTGAGAAAATCAATCAGAGTATTTTTCCATCTTATTATATTATAATTTCATGATTTGATGCATGAATAAAAATTATATGAATTTGACTCAGAATAATTTTTTTTTCTTCATACATTAGAAGTCTATTTTCAAAGAATAAATGGAGAGATCAAGTTCTGAACTCCAATTATTTTTTTTAATATATACATTTATCATTAAATTATTAGCATCCTGATATATGGTTGAATTTTTCAAGCTAATAAAATAAAAAAAATTGAATTATATATTTTTTAAATCCAATCAAATCGTGTTATAAATAATCTAAATAATATAATTGAAAAAACAAATTATTAAATAAATTCTTTTCGATTTTTCATTTTAACCTCCATGCTCACCCCTATGAAATAAAAATAAGTATTTCTAGTAAAATTTTATACGAGAACAAAAGTAACATTTGTGTTATTACAAATACTTTTCCTGCTTGAGACTCATTTAGTTTTTTACACATGAAACATATTTTAATACTACTTACTAAAACCAATAATTTAAGTACGAGAATCAAAGAATACTATTTGGACACGAGGATGATAGTAACTGGAATATCTTCTTATGAAAAAGTTTTCTGTTACTAACCAAAAATAAAACATCCATTTTATTTATTTATTTTGATATCAAAATAGAAAATTCACAAAGCTCATACACTAATGTTATAATATATTTTTATGATAAATACAAGTTCAAGATCAGATTACATACAATTAAAATATTGGAGTATGAAAAACGTTTAATGTCTAATCTAATGGATTATAATTAATGAATTTATGTTTTTCAAATATATATATGAGTAAAATTAAAATATAGATAACCTTAAAAAAATTAATTTCCTGTAATTCTCATTAACTAAAATAAAAAATTTTCCATGTGGTAAAAAAAAAAAAATCAGTAATTGGGTTGGAAAAATTAATTTCCAAAAAGATAATATTAAATTCATACACTTCTAAATCATTCCAACCCAGAAATGGCATGAAATTAAGACTACTTTTCATTGGCAGTCAGCAACAACCAACAAAGATTTTTCATTGGCTGAACATGGATCTTCACCAAAGTATCTATTCCATACAGGAATTGTACATCTCCTCTGCCCTACACATGCCTGCAAATTCATATCACAAGCTAGTCAGTAAAGAAATGCTAATCAGCAGTATGCTGTGTTTGACAGTAACTTTTTAAGTAGTTTTCAATGTGTTAACATTATTTTTTATAGCGTTCGGCAACATAACATTTGAACTAACTTTTAGAGGTTAAGGTAGTGTTTTATAAAAAGTTAACTTATGTAACGTTTAACTTTTAGCGTTTTAATGAAAAACTACTCAAACAGCTAACAATTAAACGCTACTAAAGTAGATAACAGCTACTAAAATAGTTCATTTTGTCAAATAGACCCTTAATAAAACAGCTAACAGCTATTACAACAGTTAACCGTTTCTAAAATAAGCTAATTACATACACTTAATTAGAATTGTAATTAGTTACCTTCTCAACAATGGCTTTGGAAGCAAATGAGTGACACATTCCAACACCAAAAGTAGAAGAACAGTTACCAAGAGGGGTTCCATAGCTTGCAAATGAAATATTAGAAATCTTGGTATGTAAAGGACAATCTAAGTGAACTTTGGGTCTTCTGCCTTTGTGCTTAATGTTGGTATTCAGTTTATTAGGTATTTGGTATTGGTAATAATGCCCTATCCATGTGGACACAGGAGGAGGATGAGAAGCAGTCACATGGCTGCAAACTTGTGAGATTGTGGCTGTATCCACTGATATTTGAAGTGGGTTCCCACCCATTTCTTCCATTACAACTAATAGGTTCCCCGTTGGTTTCAGGAAAGATCTTGGCACATTGTACCTATAAGAAAGCAAATTTAGCCATATATTTAAAGAGAATACGTATTTAATCATCAACAATTCAACATACAACCATAAGGTATGACCATTATTTTAAAATCACTGGTTCTTATTATAAGAAAGATGAAATTCAAATCGAACTGTTTTGGACGATTTCTAAGACGGTTTTGAAACTGCCGGTTCTAATTTTATCCCTGTTTGAAATCAAAATTAAATAATTTGTTTCAAGTTTTTTAAAATTCTCTTTTGAATTTGTAGCTTAAATAAATAATTACAGTAAAAATTTCTATTGAAAACACTAAACCAATTTAATAAAAATTCTTAAAATTTATTGTAAAAAATTATTATAAAACACAAAATAAGTTAGGAATTTGTTTAAAAATATGTTTTTCACAGTTTCAAACTGGAACCGCCGGTTTTAAATTAGAACCACTGGTTCTAGTTTCAAAAAAAATGAAGAATCGGAACTGAACTTTAAATACATGATTTTGATTACGGATTGAAACCAGGAACCATTGACCACAATTTAGTGTTAATTTTAACTGTTCAATTTTGATTCAGTTCCTAATCGAAACCGAATGCGGTCATTTTTACCTAACAGAGCTTGTTAATAATATTATTTTAAAAAAAAAAAGTCAATTCAATTTCTTTATCATCTGCCTATGCAAAAATTTTAAAATCGAGCTTTGATTTTTATATGATATCAGACTTCATTCCGTCTTTGTTTCTCACAAGCTTCTGTGTAGGCAAATTATTAAAAACGTTTTCCTGAAAAACCTATTAAATTTCTCTACGTGTATAATTAGTGAATGATCAATATTTATAAGTTATATACCATATCTGTGAAGAACCATCTGGGGAGCGATATGAGGGCCAGTATCTTCCAATGCTTTCGCCATTAACCCAAGCTTCACCCTTTCCCATAGAACCAAGGTTTAAAGCAACTGGAACTTCTCCTGCAGGTGCATCAAATAATGCCTGAAAAAACAAGTTAAGACATCAAACAGTATTACCTAAATAGTAATAGGAATCCTACATATTTGTATTTTCCAACAATACCCTTAAGTTACAATTATTATTACCTTATACCATGTAGGTGAATTCCAAGGATTGGAAAACTTTTGCCACTGGACCTGGGTTGAACCTTTGTCTGTATAAATTTGTAATTTCTCCCCCAGTAATCCTATCTGTATCAAATTACAATTTGTAGATTAAGAATATGGGATTAGAAATATATTTAGGAGATTATTAGGGATTATTAGAGAAAAAGAGTTGCAATAATAATACCTGATATCCCCATGAATGGTTGGTGAAATCCTTATTATTACCCTGTTTATCTTGAATAATCACCCTACTTAGTCCAGCTGATCTTCTCTCCATATGTGCTCCTGAATCCTTTAAACCCAAAAATGAAAATAATTTATTACACAAAAAAAGAGAAAAAGAAAAAAGAGAGCGATCTCGAGCTTCAATTTGAGTTTGATAAGCTCAAGTATACTTTTAATGAGCCAAACTCGAGTCCGACTCCATTGTTTGCAGCCCCCATTACGACAATTAGAATTATGAATTCTGAGTATCTGGACTCCTAAAATAAAATAAGAAGTAAGAGATTTGAAGATTACCGGCAATCCAACCATCACACTTAGTAAGGAGACATTATTAATTCCTCCAACCAAATGTACTGTACTTTGGAGATTGAAACGTGGAGTTTTATGACTTCCTTGAGCAGATCCTAAAGGATAACAATAACACAACAAATTGGTTAACCATGCCCGCTGACATTTGACACATTAACTGTAACGCCCCGTTTTTCCTGTGTTTCAATAGTAGTTTACCGGTCTGTGAATAGTACCACCGGTCCGGAAGTCGGTATTATTTTTGGTCCGGAAAAAAACTTTGGCACGATTGAAACGTGGTAGTATTTTATGACTTCCTTGAGCAGATCCTAAAGGATAAAATTATATCATCAACAAAGTTGGTTAGACCTATCCAGTCACGCGGCTGACATTTGACTTGCGCAGTTTCAACTGTAAAGCACCCTGTTTTATCGCTAGTGTTTCCAATAGGTAGCATTTTTCACTCGGTCATGTGAATAGTACCATAAGTTCATTACCGGTCCGGAAGTCGGTATTATTTTTGGTTCGGAAAAATTCACTCATTTATGTTTTATATTTATTTAAGCATTTTAAAGCATGTATGATGCGTTGATTTTTATCACGGCACGCGCAGTGTTAAAGACCTGTGGTTACTGCTTGAAGACTAGAGGTAGCATAGAGCAGAAGTGAGACTATTGGTGGTAATAGCTAGATTGAGAATTTATGTAATCAAGAATTATGGCAATGTTAAAGTATTATATTCGGGAGATTGTGTTATTCTGAAATTAAAATGAGAACTTAAGCCTATGTATAATCTCTAGCATTATGTCTGTGTATATATACTTCGGAGATAGACATAAGATTACATTAAATTGACTTGAATATATTAAATATTTCAAAGACGCAGATTTGGTAATGATTAAGTTTCATTAAGACTTGATATACATAAGCTAGAATCAATTATTTGATGAATATTAAAAATGCTAGGCAATTAAAGAGGAATTTATTATTATGTTATGAAAATGTAACTCACGAAGTGTTCTGTTTGTGTTATGATGATTTTTTGAGTGTTTGGTGTTAGTCTTGGAAAGTGTAAATTTTGGGAGTTGGTTTTTTAGTATTCACATGTTTGGCGAGCTGGGAGAAAGTTTTTGTAATAGGGACAATTCTTCACAATATGGTTCTAGTAGGATTTTTTTCATTATCTATTTTTTTTGTGTCAAATAAAAATAAAAGAGATAGAAAAACACGATAAATAGAAATTGATTTTACTCTAAGTAAAAAAATACAATAAATATAACTCTGTTAATAAAAACTATGTGAATACTCATTACTTCTAATTTCATAATTAATATTATGATTTATATGTTAAGTTAAGATGGTATCTCCGGCACCGTGTGGCATCCGTCGTCGAGAAATTTCTTTTATACAGTGATGACTGGGGCGGCCTCGGGGATTTAAAAAGGGAAATCTATGGAGTTCTACATTAAAAGTAACATATTGATATATTGTTAAAAAGACTTTGTAAGTAATACTAATAGAGATAAAAAAGTTATTTTTGGAAAATGTTTACTGTTTGTTAATATTTCAACCTTTTACAGCTAAATGACAATTTCTCTAAAGGTTTCTTCTGACATTATGATGAAAAATATTAATTTGAAATCAAGTTAATACAGTTTTTTGAAAACAATAATTTTTCATTGTGTTTAATTATTCAATTAGTAAATTTAACTTATGGTGTATTTTATAAGTTGAATTTGTTCAATATTTTCATCTGAAGATCAAACATAAAAATTCTGCACGGGTTGCCCAATGTGTCTAAAAAATTGTATACTTTCTTTGATACTGAAAAAAAGAGCGGAGTTTTACAGCGCAGTACATTTAAAAAGCGCACAACTTAAGCTGCTTTGGTTTTTGCTCATATGTATCAAATTTGCGATGGAGGAAACGTGGCCAACACGAAGTACTTTTTTCATCATTATTTGAAACAGTACCTAGCTTTGGGTATATCAGTGGAGCGCACCAATTTCACATTTTTTATGTAAACTCAATATTCAATAAGGTCTGAAAAAAAAAAAATAAAATTACAGGACGCAAAATCCTTGAATATAACTTAAGCCAATATATCGGGAGGTTTAGAAGTATAATTTGAAATATTGTACCTGGATAAAATAATAATGGTTGGGTTATCTATTTGAAAAGTTGGTACTCCACAAGATAAATACAGTAGTGGCATTCTATTATAATAGTATCATTTGCTCCCAATATGGTAATAATATGGATGTTGCATTGAAACGTTTATTCTAAACTCAATATCTTGGAATTTGTGGCGTTGCACAATGGAATGATATTCTTTACCTATAGGTTTCTCACCCCATCCAGTAACTTGCTTCTCAGCGCGATTACTTCTTGGTTACCGATATTGACTGCTCTGTTGCACAACTAGATTTATAAAGTTGTAATATCATCATTTTTTTTCCGAAAAGAAAGGTGAGAAAATAGCGCATATTACCCAAAAATAAGGGAATACTATTTTGCCAAGAATTTGGTATAAGTTCATATTCTGTCAATTTTAGAGGAAACGCAAACATGACTTCACTATATTTCAGCTGAAAATTCAACATAATAAAGAGTGTTATAAGCTAGAAAAAATGCATATAATTGAGAAGTCAATGCCTATAAAGCAGATGAATTCGAAAGGCAACATTTTTGTCAGTACCAGTTTCTTAGGTAGATGCATAATAAGAGATATTAAAGGAAGAGACAAAAGTTCATTTACTGAAAGGCCATTTTTTGTTGAAATTCTGCAACTGACAAGCACTAAAAAGTCATTTCTGCATGTAACTGTTGACCTACGTAAAAAGCTCATACAATATTTCTGTAGGATTTTTTCCAATCTATTTTTCAAAAAAAAAAAAGAGATGAAAACGAAATGAAATGATTATCTAATAAAAAAAACAAAAATATATTACTCGCTAAACTTGTGAATACTCAATTACTTCTAATTCATAATCTAATATTATGATTTATATGTTAAGTTAAGATGGTATCTCCGGCACCGAATGTGGCATCCGTCGTCGGGTCTCACGGGACTGGGCGGAGGGTGCTACATTAACAAAGTAAACAATATATATATACCTTGTTAAAAAGACTTTGTAGTTACTGAATTTTACTGTTTGTAATAATTTCAACCTTTTACACTAAAATGACAATTTTAAAGGTTTTTGACATTCATATGAAAAATATTAATTTGAAATAAGGTTAATACAGTTTTTGAAACAATAATTTTCATATGTTTTAATTATTAAATTAGTATTTAATATGTGTATTTTATAAGTTGAATTGTTCAATTGATCAAAATAAAAATTAAGGGTGCCATGAAATTTTTTTATATATGAAAAAGAGCGAGTTTACCCGCAGACACAAAAACGCACCAGCTGCTTGGCCATTGACAAATGCGTGGAGAACGTGGCCAAGAGACTTCACATTGAGTACTGCTTGGGAATCAGAGGACTCTTTTTGAAACCTATTCAAAAGTGAAAAAAAAAAAAAAATACAGAGAAATCCTTAAAACTAGCCAAATATTCAAGTTAGAGAAATGAAATATTGTACCATAAAATAATAATGTGGGTTTACCTGAAAGTGTACCAAAGATAATCAGATGCATCTTTAGTAGTACTCATTTGCTCCAATATGGTTTCTGATTTGATTGAAGTATCATCAAACTTGGGAATTGGCTCATGGAATTCTTCCCATGTTTCTCCCCCATCCAGTAACTTGCTTCTCACCATACTTCTGGTACCATATTGACTGTTTACCTGTTTCAGTACAATTTTTCCGAAAAAAAGAAAAAGCATTAAAAAAATAGAATACTATTCCAAGAATTGCATACCATTTTCAATTTCAGAGAAACCAAACATGACCTTCTAATTTCACTGATTAATAATAGAGTATAGTAAAAAAGTAATTGGAGTCATGCCTTAGCAGTATTGAAGGCAACATTTTTGCAGTCAGGTAAGATGCTAATAGATATTGGAGGCAAATCATATGAACCATTTTGAAATTGCACTGAAGCTTCATTTTCTGTGTCACTGTTGACTAGAAAAGCTGCACATTCTCCTGATTGTCCATTAAACACGTAGGCCTACATACCCAATTACATTTTAGGCACTAGTTTAAGTGAGTAATTAATAATTAAATTGAATACTTAAAAATAATTGTTCTTGCTGTCTGGTGTTCTTACTTGTTGTTGTTGGCCTAGAGATATATAGACTTGCACTCCTGATAGTAGAGGAGTTGAACACAGCTTAATTGCAGCATGTAGCTCCTTCAGATGACCAAATTTAGGTTCTCTAACCAATCCTAAATTTATCATTAATTGAGTTAATTAATTGAAAAGTAATTAATATGTTATCAGAAAAAGGCAAAAAAGCTGAAGAAATGGTTAATTACAGAACCCTCTTAGGTTTTCTTTATGTACATTTTGGTCGTTATTGTTTCAAAATTAGTGATTTTAGTCCCTATATTATAATTGACAAAAAATAAAAAACTAAAAGTGTTTTAAATTTTAGTAATATTGGGGACAAAATAGGATAAAAAAAATTCATAATTTTATAATTAGACTAAAGTTTTAAGTACTTAACAAACTTGAGGGACTAAAATGCTAATTTTCAAACAATAAGGATCAAAGTTAACATTAAGGAAAACCATAGGATTTTTTTTTTTATCAACCCTTGAAAGTAAAAACATACCATACTCATCGAGAGGTGCTTGATCATAATAACTAGGTGGTATAAATGCAGAGGCTGTTCTGCCAAAATTGGTTCCTCCATGATACTGTAATAAATGTTTTGGACAAATCATAGGAGTTGATAAAAATGCCATATATATTGTTTTTGAGGTATCTATTTGTCTTGATTAATTAAACAGAAAAGAAAATTGTCATACCATGTAATAGTTGACAAAGCTTCCATTCTTTGCAACAAGGAACAGTGCAACCTGATATGCAATATCCTCCACTGATCTTGTCCTTATATCCTCCCCATTTATCACATAGCTATGGAAAAACAAGTAATAACATTAGTTTATATGTTCATTTTTTTCCCTGTTAATTAGGTTTTAATTGGTTTTAAAATTAGATTAAGTCATGGTATAATATAATGTAATCAATGCATTGTTAGCGTCGATATTACATACCGAGTTGTCCAGTTCTCTGTCCAAATTGCAGGCTTATTTGGGGAGTTAGGCCCAACAAATGTCTCTCCACATTTCAATCCGTTGCATGAATCGATCTAAAAAATTATGTAATAAGTATTGAATTTTACATTAAAAAAAAAAAAAATACTTGTCTAATTATTAGGGGTTAGCCCTTTAATGTTAAAAAATAACTAATTGCTGATAGTCAATAACTGATAACTAATTGTTAGTCGTTAAAAACTAACAACAATCGCTAAAACTAATATGAACTTATGTGAAGTTGTGATTATGCGCATAAATGGGTAAATAGAGATGGCAATTAGGATTGGATTTACTAGAAAGAGAGACTAACCACGGGATCAGGAGCATCATTTTGCTTGCACATAACCCATGGCACCCCAGTGTTGAGTCCCACAGCCATTTGTGCTGCCCATTTGACATATGCTTGCCCTTCCTCCCCAAATGCTTCTTCCACCATCCCATACTCGTTCTCAATCTGTTTCATTACATATACAGGGAACGTTTATTATTATTTATTTACATCCCAATAATTTAATAATTTGAGCATATTATTTCATAACAAATTTATTGAACCTGTGATAGTATGATTGGACCTCCTTGTGAAGCATATAAACCCTCTGATTGCATCATTTTCACTATTTTTGTAGTAAAATTTTGCATCTGACTCTTGAAAGGTTCATTATCTGATCGATAAACAATGCCTGGAATGTCATGCAGCCAAAATGGTAGCCCTCTGCAACACAATCACATTTTTGTTTTTTCATTTTTATCATAAATAAATGCGTAATTAGCAAATAGAATAATACTTAATTTATCTCCTAAACTTGATTGTTTATACAGCTTATAATGGAAACTTATAGCCAAAAGACCAATTGAGTCTTTCTTTTTTTTTCTTTTTTTTTTCTTTTTTAACTGAATTAAGTGCGTTAAATATAAGTGAAAATAATTAACATGTTTGAGTTAAGAGAAAATCAAGTTACGGGCATTGTAAATAAATTATTCATCACAAACAATTTCAAAAAGCAAATTGAGGATTATTTTTTACTAAACTTTATAATTAAGGAAGACTGAAAAGGGTTTTACCCATAAGACCATTCAGCTTGAATAAAAGGTCCAATCCTAAGACACGCGTGGAGGCCTTGTGCTTGGATTTCCTTAACAAATCTAACGATGTCCCGTCTTCCACTGAAATCATACTGCATTATTATAATTTAGGTCAACCCAAATTCAAAAACTAAATTAACAATATATTATTATAAAGTTTAAAGGCCAATTTGATATATTATCGTCTTAATTAATTCGAAAATGAGATTTTTTCATTTTAATCATTTAATATATTGGAAAATATTTATTTTATTTATTTATTTACTGAGGGCGCATGAGTCCATCAACATACACCAATAATACATTAACGATTAAAAAAAATTATCTTTTTCCTTTTATTTTTAGAAAATATTGATATTTTTATAATGTCAAATATATTTATTATATTGATTTGATATATAAATAGATTCATATATAAAAAATTGATAAATATAACATCTATAAGATTAAATGTACTTAGATCTGCAGTTGCATTTATTGATTAAATAAAAAATAATCTTTTTTGTTAAAATGACAGTATTTGCGAGTATTCGCAACAAAAGAATAAAAATAAAATGGAAAAATATTTTAAAAAGAAAAATCATATTTTCATTTTGATCCATCCATGGGCTTATAAATTTACCTGACCAGGCTGAGGCTCGTGCAGGTTCCAAAACACGTATGTCTCTATCACATCGATGCCTCCATCCTTCGCTTTAGCTATCAAAGATGGCCACATCTGCAGTCATCATGTTTTAATTATTTAAAAAAATATATAAAATAAGTATTACATTGCCTTTATATATATACCCATTTGGTAAGTGAAATTGGAATTAGGATTTTAAATAATTCATAATTTAAAATCAATTTCCTGTTTGAGAAAATAAAAAAATTATAAATTATTCAAAATTTTAAAATAAACTATTTTTTATAATAAATAAACGAAAGTAGTATATTACAATTAAATTAAATTAAATGATTATAAATATAGAAATTAAATTTGCTACTTTTGATTCTGAAGCTATAAATATGATTAATAGCACATGATCCAATGAATCAAGTAGTGGTAATTAAAAATTTTTTCCCCTACAATATTATAATTGAAAATAGACAGCATGACTTCATCTGAACGATTATACTTGGACTAACAAATAATGAATTTAATAACTAAATATAAAAATTAGTATTGTCATATGATCATTAATTACTTGAATATTGTTTATTCTTTTATTCAGAAATGGTGCCGGGAAATTCCGCACTGTACTCCAATAAGTTTATTATATATTATATTATATAATCCTCCCACCTTCCTTTCAACAATTTTTAAAAATTAAAAATTATCAAAATTCAGAGTCAAAATGCATTAATAAAAGAAAATTTAGCTTACACATGGATTATGAGTGACAAAGTCGCAATGAGGGATCAAAATGGGTTTTCTTGTTTCAAGATTATTGTCTATTACTTTTTTTAAATCTTTTTAAATATTCTTTTTTCATTACTAGTATTCGTTCCAAACTCGACTAATATTTACTCTGGATCTATTCTCATTCGCTTAATTTTGTTATTTTTATTAGTGATTTAATAAACATAGTTATTCTATAAGTTTACTTAATAATAAAAATAAAATAGAATCAAATTAATTAAGAAATATATATCTATTGAATTTATAATTTTGAATCATCTTACGAGAATAGAATATGGTAAAAATCAATCAGAAGAAGTATGTATAAAAGTATTTGATCCAAGGAAGAATAATGCTGGAAAGTTTTGGTAACAAATTAATTTTTTATAATCGAGTTAAATAATAATTAGCATTAATAATATTTAGCATTAATAATATTTAATGTTTTCAATTTTTATAATTAGCTAAATAATAATAATAATGATATCATTAAATATTTTTAAATAATAATATTTAATGTTTCTATTTTTAGTTTTTAGTTTGACAATATTAAGTATTCTTCGGTTTTTTTTCAATAACTAAGTAAATAATTAATAATATCATTTAATGTTTCTTACAGATTTTGCCTAAATATTTAAAAAAAATTTGCTTGATAATTAAAGCATGTTTCAATAATCAGAGGTAGTTAGAATGAGTACAAAATTTTATATTTTCAAATAACTTTCTCAAACAAAGGGCCAAAAAATAAATTTCTTTCCATAGGTCAAAACATAAACTTCATTATTTGCTACCGTTTACATTCCCCTTATTCCAACAAATTATTTAAAACTTTGCTTAAAATGTAATTTAAGACATATATTGATTTTAGAGGAGGAATAAATGGAATATTAGAGGTAAATTAGAAAAACCAGTGCAGAAAAAAATTGGTTAAACTATTTTCTGAATTTTGGTGAAAAATTAGTTGTTGTTGTATAAATAATGTATTTTATTTTATTTAATAAAAAAGAGAGTAAAGGCATGTATCTTGAAAGTTGGATTGGCATTGTCTAGAAACTTCGTTTGAGGAATAACTTACAAAGGAAAAGAGTTAAAACTCGAAAGGTAACAACTAGCTTCCATGGAAATCTCGAGGAAAATAATATTTATATATTATTATTTATTATATGAGTACTCATTATATTATATATATTTTATTGTTGAGATCACAAGAGCCCTAATTATCATTTAAGACAAAAAGTCACCTTTGAAGTCCATATGAAGATATATAAGTCAGCCATCTCATCTCTTAGTTAGAGATGGGAAATTCTATAAAACACTCGTTATGATCAAACTAGACAGAGAATTCCTTTTGTATTTATAAATTATTATTTTCTTTTCATTTTCAATATTCAAAAATACTCTATATATAATATTTTATAAATTTTTATGAAATCTCATGCTCAATAGGTAGATAAGGGTGAAATATTGAATTTGAAAATGCTGGCGTTACACGTTATAGTACATTATGATAAAGTGGTATCAGAGCTAACCCGAATCTAATTTTAAAGTCTCGTCAAAATCTTTCAAGAATACTCGTAATAAAAGTGTTTCAAATTTTAGTAGGCAACATTAATTACATGTATTTTATATCATATTTTATATTTTATAAATATAAAATATTTCTTTATAAAAACACAATATAAGTTACATATTTTCAATATTAAAAATCAACTCTAAATTTTCAGTAATTGGCATTTTTTTTTAATTCATTTCATGAAACGTAAGGAAGAATACACTACAGGCAATAAACTTTTGGACGACTAGATTGCAAATTACAGAAACTGTAATGACATGAGAGTTAATTTAGCGTATCGATAACTTACCTCAGGCGTGCTTCGTGGATAGTGAACAGAACCGGAGAAGAGAAGCCTGCGCTGCCCATCAACGATCAAAGATCTGCCGTCATACGTTACATCTCCGCCGCAAACAGGACCGATGATTACTGCTACTACAAGAACTAGCAGAAAAATTACTTTCACCATGCCTGATAACTCTCTCTGTCTATAGCACAAAACAGAGAGAGAGAGAGAATTAAGGTCACTCTCACTGAATCCCACAACTAAAAAATGAATTGTTCACTCTCTTAAGTTCCTTTAAATACAAGAGTAAACTTGTTAATAAGGCAATAACATGGATATATTTATATGGAAATTACAGAATTTAGGGTAATATGTTTATAAATTAGGAATTAATGGGATTTGCCTACCACAACAAGGAGATTAGATTTTGTAAATATATTGCAGCAGAAACGGGAATTTTTATATAATACCCATTTTTGGTTTTTTAAAGAAGAATAGACAGTTGTAATAATTACAAGAAATGTAATAAGAGAGAGGAAGAGCCGGCAGAGAAAGCGGTATTGTGTTGCACGTCAACTTACTGGACTAGCTAAGAAGGAATTGGTTCTTGCAGTGTTAGTGCTTTGTTGGGCTGTGAGATTTTTTGCATGAAGAAAGATTGCCAAATTAAATTAATTATGAGAGCAAGCAAATTCTTATGAGGCATTGGTCAAGTGAGTCATGCAATGCACATCTTATGCCACAAGAAAAGGCTTCACTTCTCTTCAACAGCATGGATTTTCTTAATTTATATGTCTTTCAATTTTGCAAATTTTCTAATTCTCTGTATAACTGGATTCCTAAATATCTAAATTATTATTTAACTCCTCTATGTTTGGGAAATAAATATCAACTTATACTTTATTTCACTATTAAGTCATTCGGTCTAAAAAATGAATTCTTTCTATCTAAGAAGTGAGCATATTCACCTAAAAGTATATCTAACTAATAGTGGACGGAATAATCGAATAGTGAAATGAAAACATAAGAAAAAAAAATGTTATAATCATTTCTCAAATATAAATGGATTTAAGTATTAATTTGAACATATTTTAAGTATCAAATTATATTTTCACCATGTTTAAATTCAATTCAGCTTTCAAAGTAAAAATAATAATTCAATTGAAAAAATAAAAAAATAGTAATGATAAGATATTTTGAAGGAAAAATTACAATCGTCTCCTTGTATCCCTGTATTTTGCAAAAAGAAACTACTTTACTCTTGTCTTTTTAAAAATAAACTGTTATATTCTCATATTTTCAATTCTTTACATGATATTCTCCTTCCCTCCATTTTTTGCATTTTTAAAATATACAAGTCAATAAAAAGTATGACATTTTAAGGACAAAAATAAAATTTATGGCTAAAATACCCTTCTTTTCTTCCTCTCTTTCTCTTCCATAGCATCATTGCCTAGAAAGTGAGAAATAAAAGAAACAAAGAACGTATCCATGTAACAAAGAACATTTAACAATAAAAATAGCATTTATTTATTTACAATAGTCAAGCCCTTGATAGCCTTCTATCTATACACAACTAGCTAGAAAATGATGTGTTGCAGAAAAAGAACATTGCATTTGCATACAGATCAATGATAAAACTTAAAGAGTAAATGTAAAATTTTCTAGAAATAATAACCCTTTTTAATTAAAAAGTTCCAAAAATAATTAATGTAGAAAACTACATACTAATTAGAGAACCATTCTAGCACCTATACGCCTCAAGTGGGTAAAAACCTTATTTCTATCATCCTTCATTGCAATAGTGGCATCGAGGCGACATATTTTTTTTATTAGAATTGTGTTTTTGGTCCTTAAATCTGTCACTGTATGCAATTCTTCATTTGGCAAAATTAATTTGGGAATTGAAAATAATTTAATATTCTTGTTTGGAAGGATTAAGGTTTGCTAGGAGGAGAAGAGAAGATAGAAATGGAAAGGAAATAAAATAAGGGTCCACTGTTTTACAGGCATTTAACTTTTAAATTTGAAAATAGTGAACTGAAGTGCAATGTAATGTGACGAACACAAAATGGAAGGTCATTTGTGCTAGCCCGTTTCGTCTCTCCCAAGAGCTACAGTACACTATAGCCATGTGATCCCTCTGGCATCTAGGGAAATGGTGGGTGGGAGTCTTTGCCAGCCTTTGACCTCACGCCTGCAGCTTCTATTTGAACTCCGGGAACTGGGCTTCATTTGGCATGCTCATTCTTAACTCTATTTGCTTGTTACTCGTCAAGCTTCAACAGTGCCACCTTCTCCTCTACATCTTCTTCTCTCTGCGTTGTTATTTTGATGATTTTTTCGGCTAACACAACCACTGAAAGCTGCTGCACAACCGATCTTGGCTGGTGAATTTCCTATTTGGTGATAGCAGAGTCCATGTGTTTTCCAGAATGATGTACTTTACTGTTCATAACCATCTAACTAATGCCTGATTACCCACTAAAAAGATGCAGAAAATGATTTTAATTGCATTTGAATCATAATATAGGAGATTAGGGTACTGGGCTTACTTGCAATGTAAAAGAAAATTCTATTTATAGGGAATGAGGTTGTTAAAGTCCAAAGAATTGAGGCTATGCTCATTCTTAACTCTATTTGCTTGTTACTCGTCAAGCTTCAACAGTGCCACCTTCTCCTCTACATCTTCTTCTCTCTGCGTTGTTATTTTGATGATTTTTTCGGCTAACACAACCACTGAAAGCTGCTGCACAACCGATCTTGGCATCCACTTCATCTTCTGTGTGTTCTCTGTCTCAACGTTCCGATTTGGATATTGACGACTACTTCTAGTTCCTTTACAGAAAATTATAAATTTTCTAAACTTTTGTGGCTACTTACCAGTATTGGTGTGATTATCAGTCTTTAATGCCGAACGACTGATTTAATTTAACAGTTATAAAATTGTTTCGTCTCTCTTCTTAGAGAGTTCTTCTGGTTTTGGTCTTGTCATTGACAAGTTTTTCTCATGGCTGATGATCAACATATTTCTGTGGAGATGGCTAACTTATCAGTCAACGGTGAGGAAGATGATGGACTAGTTTTTGAAGAGGACGAAGAACTCTCTACAGGTTCTGACAACTCTCTCTGTCTGGTAGGACGATTTCTTACCGATAAAACTCTCAACTTCCAGGCTATGAAACAAACCCTTGCTTCTCTATGGAGGCCTTTCATGGGAATGTCAGTCAACGAGGAGGGGAATGGTCTTTACCGTTTTCAATTTTACCACAAGGTGGACGTGGACAGAGTCCTTGATATGGCACCATGGACTTTTAACAATCAACTTTTGATTCTCGGAATTGTTGAAGGTAATATCACTTTGTCTGATATCTCTCTATTTGAAACTCCTTTATGGGTCCAGATTCACAAACTTGATAATGGGTTTATGACTGAACGAGTGGCAGTCCGTTTGGGCAACGAACCTGGTTCTTTTCTAGAATCCGATCCCAATAATTTTACAGGACCAAGACGATCCTATATGAGACTGAAATATTTACATGATATCCGTAATCCTATTCGACCAACATTGAAGCTCCGTGCAAAGGCTGGAAATTGGTTCTATCCCACACTGGCATATGAACGATTACCCAGTATATGCTTTCTATGTGGTTTCCTTGGGCACACTGAACGATTCTGTCGTAAGCTTCTGAACGAAGGCTGTGTTTCGTTGGTCAGAAAGTTTGGTCCGGAAATTCGAGTTTCTAACCGGCGAAGCCTGCGAATTGGTGAACGGTGGTTGAGGGAGGAGACAGGTGGGTCCTGGGATACGGCTACTCATGATGTTGGTGTTGAAAAAGCCAATAATGATGGAAGCTTTCAAATTTTGAATAGGAAAGGAGATATGGCTGTTTTAGAGGGCATGATTTGCGGAGATGATTATACTCCCATGGTGGATAAGTCAGCAGCGAACACCTCAAATGTGGACCCAGCATTAGGTGATAGTTTTGACATTATCATGGTAGATCCAAAAAGGAAACGAATGGAACTTGCGCCCACCATGTTGCATGATAATACTCCCACCATGTGCCATGATAAACTCCCAGCTGTTTTTGGGCAATAACTTCAGTTTCCAAAAATGGGGCCATTGGCGGGATTCTGCGAGTCAGACTGCCGCCAGAACATGAGTACTTCAGTTTGGAAACTGGTCGTGGGCTTGCAACCCACGACAGTACGTACTTTACGGGACATTATAAATGATAAGAAGCCGACTTTTATTTTTTCTTATTGAGACGCTTTGTCATTCAGAATAAAGTTGCGGAAATAGAAGAACTTTATTAAATTATGATGGTTTTGTTAATGTTTGACTGTGTTGGCCATAGCGGCCGGTTTGGCAATTATTATGGAAAAGGTGTTTCCGTCAGTTAATAATTATTCAGTTCTTGTTTCTAGATATAATAGATGTTGAAGTGGATTTGCCCCATTTTGGTCATTTGCGACTTACCAGGCCTTTTATGGTGAACCAAATAGAAACAGCGAGAAACAATTCCTTGGCAGCTACTTCGTGGTTTTAGCTTCTTCACAGTGAATTTGGCCTTGGCTGTGTTTAGGCCGACTTCAATGTCCTTGGTTCGTCTGAAAAGAGGAGGGGGAAGCAACTCATCCTACTCCATCTTAATTCGGTTCAAGCTGCTATCTCAGATGCACATCTGTATGATTTTCCTATGTCTGGTTATGCCTTCACTTGGGAACATGGTCGCACTAGTGGCAATTTAATTGAGGAAAAACTTGATCATATTTTGGCTACTGACTCTTGGCGCCGAAAATTCTCTCAAGCTCGAGCTATGGTTCTTGACAAATCTTCATCCGACCATCTCCCGATCTACCTTGAACTACGTCACTTTATGCCTCGGGCTCAGGCTAGACGATTCCGTTTTGAGAACAGCTGGAGGAGGGAGGCGGCTTGTAAGAATCTGATTATGGGTTGTTGGCTGATTATGGGTTGTTGGTTAGAGACGGTGAATTTGGCTTTGGGTGATAGGCTTTCTCGGTGCAGAGCACTCCTTGAGATTTGGGGGGAAGAACTTCGCCATTATCAGAAAGGTGAATTTGCGACTTGCATGGCTATCATAGTTGCTACAAGAGGTTCTCGTACCGCAGGAGATAATGTCCGGTTTTTGGAGGCAAAGAACAGGTATCAGGAATTATTGTTACAACGGGAAATTTTTTGGAAACAACAACGTGCCAAAGAGTTCTGGTTACAGGAAGGTGATGCTAATACCCGTTTCTTCCATCGACGTGCTACAGCTCGACAACAACGAAACCGGATTTCTGCTCTGAGGGATGAATCTGGAAACTGGTGTCACTTGAATTCCGGGTTAGAGGACCTCATGGTACGTTACTTTACTAATGTATTTGCTTCCCAGAATTGCACCTCTACATTGGTTTCTGATCTTATTCAGCCTGTTCTCACTGAGGAACAAAATGAGTTCTTGTTAGCTCCTTACTCAATTGAGGATGTTCGGGTAGCGGTTTTTGACATGAAGGCCGACAAAGCCCCGGGTCTTGACGGTTTCAATCCCGGCTTCTACCAAGGCTACTGGGATGTTATAGGTAATGATATAGCTCAGAATTGTATCG